TTCTGGTAGGACGAGGATTGGTGCTTCACACAACCTCTTCTTCAATTCACCAACAAATTTTTCGTGCTTCTCGCTCCAAATATAGATAACTCCCTCTTTGGTTAGGGCTGTCAATGGATCTACGATAGAAGAAACATTTTGGATGAATATTCGATAGTAACCCGCCAATCCTAGAAAACTATGATTTTTTGTCGGACTCTTTGGCGTCTCCCATTTCATCACAACTTCTATCTTTGTTGGGCCAACCATAATGCCTTCCCGATTAACCATATGACCCAAGAATTATATCTCCCATATCCAAAAGTCGCACTTGGAGAACTTTTCATAAAGCTTCTCCCTCTTTAGGACTTCTAGTACTTCTCAGAGGTGTTTACCATGATCTTGATTGTTCTTGGAGTAAATCAAGATATCATCAATGAACACTATTACTGATTTATCAAGAAAAGGATTACAAACTCGATGCATCAGGTCCATGAATGTTGTTGGAGCATTTGTTAGTCCAAATGAAATAACAAAGAATTTATAGTGCCCATACCTTATTCTAGAGGTTGTATTCTCAATGTCTTGCTCTCTAATCTTTAACTGATGATAGCCTGACCTGAGATCAATCTTGGAGAAAACGGTTGCTCCCTACAACTGATCGAACAAGTCATCTGTCTTAGGTAAAGGATACCTATTCTTGATCGTAGCTTTGTTTAGCTCTCTATAATCAATGCACATTCTCATTTTACCATCCTTATTCTTTACGAACAATATTGGAGCTCCCCAGGGTGATGAACTAGGTCTTATGAAACTTTTTTCTAACAACTCCTGGAGTTGTGTCATTAATTATTTCATCTCTGTATGTGCTAAACGATACGGTGCTTTCGTAATTGGCGTCGTGACTGGTAATAAGTCGATCATGAATTCTACCTGTCTCTATGGTGGTAATCAAGGTAATTCATCGGGGAATACCTCATGAAAATCTCGCACCATAGGTATATTAGTCATTGCCTTCTTCTCCTTCTTCGCATCTATCACGTATGCTAAAAATGTTGTGCGTCCCTTAACTAGGCATTTTCTGGCTTTCATCATTGTAATGATTTCAGACTTTACTCTACTCTTATCACCGTAAACTATAAATGGCTCTCTCCCAGGGGGATTAATACGCACCATCTTCCTTCCACATAGGATGTCTGGGTAGTTTTCTCCTAACCGATCCATGTCGAGAATTACGTCGAACTCACTCAACTCAAAAGGCAAAAGCTCTCGACGAAATTTTTTTCCATTCAAGTCGATAGTTATGGCCTCTAACCTATTGCTAACAGATACATTCCTACCACCCGTTGCTTCTACTAAGATATGGGTATTTAGTCTAAGTGGTGATAATATAAGTTTCCTACCAAATTCATGCGATATAAATGAATGATCTGCTCCAGAATCGAATAATGTATTTGCAGAAATTTGATTAACTAAGAATGTACCTGAAGCAACATCGGTCTCTTCATTTGCTTCATTAAGGGTCATCTGATAGCTTCGACCCTTGGGCTTTGGTGGCATGATCCTTGGGTTAGGTTTCTCAACCTTTAGGCACTATGCCTTAATGTGCCCCCCTCTCCACAATTGAGACAAACTTTTTCTTTTACTGGGCAATTTATAGAAGTATGCCCGGGCTTCTTGCACTTGAAGCAGATGACGCAATCGCCGAAATGCTTCCTTTTGCACTAGTCGCACCACTTCCCTTCTTGGCTGCTCCCAGACTTGTTGCTTGACTTCGAAATTTTTTTCTTCTTCTTGTTGTTATGCTTCCTCAACCTTCCTCTTTTCACTGACCTCGGTCCTGTCGGCAGCTCTCTTCTTCGTCATACCCTCCACAGATTTTGCACTACTAGTGTTGTTTTTTTATAAAATTTCGTTGTTCAAAAAAACTACTAGGAATGAATTTTAGGGCTTAAAAAGAATAGAACGTGATGTAGTACTAAAATTTTCACAAACTACTAATGATCATATTCGAATTCATTATTTGTTTTCATACTTCATATTTTAATTAACATGTCGGTAGAATTCCTTGTGTATTTTTGTTAAATTTCATAAGATTTTCGTTTATTTTGATGTTTGATGAATATGTTTATAGGTTTCAAGTGAAAATAGAGTCGCAAAAATGAATGTAGATGTAGTTGAAGACGAATATGTAAGGAAGGGTGATGAAGAAGACGTTAGAAATGATGGTCTACGACAGAAATGAAATCATCAGAGATGAAGTCGTTAGTGAGGAATAGTAACGAAGAAAACAAGGAAAGTGAGGGTAGGATTTGAGGTCCCACATATTTTAATAAAATTGATTAAGAAATAGTAAAAATGATTAAACAAATAAATAATATATATATATATATATATATATATATATATATATATATATATATACTTAAAAATAAAAAGAAAAAAATATATATATTTTACATAGATCAAGAAGCTAATGTATTTTTGACACTCCTAAAAGATAACCGCAATAAGTGGGTCAAGATTTTTAGGTTGTGTAGGAATAAACAAAATTCAAAGTATCTCATATATGTAGGGGTGTTCAAAAATATCAAAATTCGAACATCTGATCCAAAAATCCAAAAATTTGATTCGAAAATATCCGAAATTTCGGATATCCAGATTTTTGGATATTTGGTTTTTCGGATTCGAATACGGATAGCTATTTTATAAAATTTCGAATATTTCAGATATCAAAATATCTGATAATTTAAAAAATATTTATATTATTTATTTACGTTATGCAATTTCATTTTGTATTCTTCTAATATAAAAACTCAAAATTAAAGATTTAGGTTGAGTTTAGTTGCCGAAAAATAGGTCGTTTTCCCGAAAAAATTTCCAAAAAAAATTTGAATTTTGAAAACGCTTTTAGTTCTTGTATTTTTCTAAATTTTTTTACAGAAAATGAAAATTTTCCATTTTCAAAGATTACAAAGAAATTGGAAATTCTTGGAAAACCCATAATCATTGTTTTCCAAAATTTTCTAAAATATAAACACACCCACTCCCACTCCCACCCACCTCTACCTACCCTCACCTTAACACCCCCAACCCACTACACCCCTACCTACCAACACCCCACAACCCCCCCCAACCCCCCCCCCCCCCCCCCACACACACACACACATACACACATACACATCCATCCCCACAAAAACACACACACACACACACACCCACACACACCTACACCCACTCCAATACCCACACCCACACCCCCACAAACACACACCCCCACCCCCATAAACACACACACCCACAAACGCATACCTACACCCACACACCCACAAACACACACCTACACCCACCCGACCCCTACAAACACACACACAGAAACACACCCATACAACACCAAATCACACACCCCCCACACACCCACAAAGACACACACATACACCCACTTGCCCAACACCACTACCACAATCACCCACTTACCATCACCATCATCACCACCACTTCGCACTACCACCATCACCGTCGCCATCACCACTACTGCCATAATTGTCACTGTCACCACCACCTCCTTTCACCACCACCGTCGCCATCATCGACACCACCACTGCCCCCCGCCGCCGCGCCCACCACCGCCTGTCACCACCACCGTCGCCATCATCGACACCACCACCACCCCGATGCCATTTGTTAATATCAAGATTAAGTTACACATTTATTTATTTTACTGACATTACACTGATGACTTGTAGTTTTTTCAAATAGTTTATCTTAAGAAGCTGATAGTAATTTTCTTTCTTTTGGATAAAGAATGACATGTGCTTAATTAATGCCTTTTTCTCAATTGTTAAACATGATTAACATCTTATTTTTTGGTTAATAACCATCAATCTATGTTTGGTTATTGCATATAATAAAAGAAATTAAATTTTGGATATCCGATTTAGGTATCTGAATCCGTATCCGAAAATTTGGATATTAGAATTTCGGATACGGATTCAGATATCTAAATCCACTATCATAAATTTTTGTATAGGTGGTTTTGAAGACTCCCACGTATGTGTATAAGTGTTGGTAAGCTTTGTTTGTTCCTCACTCGGATCATGGAGCAATTTCAAACATTTCTTCCCATTTCATAAAAATAATATAAAATTGAAGCATCATCATATACCAAGCTATGGTGTTTTTCTATGAATTGTATTTTTAGTCCCTATAGTTTTCAAATAGACATAAACGGTCACCGAAAAAAAAGTACAACACTATGTTTCAAATGACAAAATGACATAAATTGCCCCTATGAGAAAAAGAATTACATAAATAGTCTATGGGTAACAAAATTATAGAAACGATTATCATCTAAAATAAAATTACAAAAATGGTCTTTCTAGATGAAGTTATAAAAATGGTTGCTATAAAAGTTACATAAATAAGATCCATGTGTAATGAAGTTATATAAATGGTCCCTATGTAAGACAATATAACATAAAAGGTAATTTTGTGTAAGACAAAATTAAAGAAAATTGTCTATACGTAACAAAATTACATAAATGGTCCATGTGTTTCAAATAGAAAAAAAAGGTCATTGAGTGTGAGAAAAATAAAATTACACAAACAATCACCCATGAGATAAAACTATAATTATAAAAATAGTCTCTATAAGAAATAGATACAAAAATGGTTAATATGAAAATGAGTTACAAAAACGATACATGTAATAAAATTAATGATCATTAATTATATAAAAGAAAATTACATTTTCTATTTGTATAAAAAAATGATTTCAAAAAATAGTTGATATCGTTACAACGCACAAGGTTAAAACACTTGTTACACATGTAAACAAATATAAACTTTGAATAAAATTGCAATTTTTTCAAACAAATAAACTACATATATAATTTTGTCTAAATTCACAATTACAAAACGAGAAAATTAAAATTTGAGTTGAAAGTAACTGTTGCTTAACGCCACGCCATGCTTCCCACGTTTCATCTTCACCTTACGTTTTCTTCCCTTTCTTTTATAAACACAAAATCCCTTCATTTCTCCTTAGATATTTTCTCTCTCCACCACTTGTCCCTTCGCCGTCGGTGGCACCACCTCACCTCACCTCACCTCCATGGATTCCCAAACCTGCCACCTCACCATCTCCACCTCCACCGCCGCCGCCGTCGCCCACACCCTTCTTCTCCTCATCCAAGATGATCCCACCAACCCCTGTTCCAAAATTGAAGCCGCTAACGAGATCCGGCGACTCACCAAGACTTCTCAGCGGTGTCGCCGACAATTCTCCGCCGCAATTAAACCCCTTGTGTCGATGCTCCGTTCTCAGTCACCGGAAGCCAACGAAGCTGCCTTGCTCGCTCTTCTTAACCTCGCTGTTAAGGACGAAACGTATGTTTGTTTATCTTTCATCTTTTTCTTTGATAATAATAATATGATGATGATGATGATGATGATGTTGATGATGATGATGATGATGAGCTTCACTTTGTGTTCTATCGTTTTCTGTTCTTATCGTTGCATCTTTTTTGGCTGATTCAGCAATATCTGGAAAAAAGAAAAAGGAATCAAAGCTTTTTTGAAAGTGTGTTTTGTGGTCTCTGTTTTATCGTTAATCTTTTTTCCAATTGGTTAACACTAAAGAAAACAATTTGACCCAGTTAATCAAATTAGTGTTTGTTCTTATTGATCACAAAAAAAATCCTTATATTGTTCTATAAATTAAACAATATACCCATGATTTTGATTCGAAGTGTTTAGTTTTATGAGTAGTTATGTTCATGCTTAGACAAACAGTGTTCTCTTGTTCATAAGATTCCCTACTAGGATATTTCATTGGTGGTTTTAAAATTGTTAAGAAGAAGTTTAAATGAATTAGTATTTGAAAAGATTTTGTGGTTTTTATTTCTTCTAATGGTTTATTATATTAGTTTAATGTAATTTAGAATTTAAAACTTGCATGATTGATTAATCTTGAAGTAAATTGTGGTTGGTATTTTTGGGGTGTCATTTTCTTGGGTCTACGTGTGCTTGTTTTTCATGGTTTTAGCAATTTAATAATGAAAATAACTTTTTACAACTTTGTCTGTGGTCTCCTACTCCCCATTAATATCTTCCAAGTTCAAAAGTAATATGAATACATTTATCGACATGTAATATTAAAATAACTCATAAAAATTTTAATTTTACAAATGGTTACTTAAATTGATTGTTTTTTTTAGTAGTTGTCTTATACAATATTTTTTTTTTATAAACAATAATTTATGTTTTAAAATGTTTTACTCTACGACCTTGAAAAAAAAAGTTACATAATTAATTTTCTACTATATAAATTTTTTTTTATATACGAATCAAAACTTATATCATTGAGAAAAATGTTATGTACAAATAATGTTATATAATTCATATATCTAAAATCGTGAATCTCTTTTTCAGCAACAAGATTACAATTGTGGAAGCTGGTGCCTTGGAACCAATCGTAGGTTTTCTTCAATCCGACAATTCAACCATGCAAGAACATGCAACGGCGGCGTTAGTCACTTTATCAGCATCTCCGGTGAAGAAGTCCGCCGTGGGAGCATCTGGGGTCATCCCACTTCTCTTAAAAATCATAAACCACGGCTCCCCACAAGCCAAAATGGACGCCATTGTAGCTCTCTCCAATCTCTCAACAGAACCCGATAATCTCTCATTAATTCTCCAATCTCACCCGATTCCCACATTAACAAACATCCTCAAAACCTGTAAAAAAACCTCAAAAATCTCCGAAAGATGCATTTCGCTTCTAGAAACTTTAGTCGATTACGAAGAGGGAAGAGTTTCGCTGACGTCAGAAGACGGTGGAATACTTGCGGTGGTTGAAGTTCTCGAAAGTGGGACCCATCAGAGCCGGGAACACGCAGTGGGAACACTTTTAACTATGTGTCAAATCGATCGAGGTAAATACAGAGAACCGATACTTAAAGAAGGTGTAATCCCTGGACTTTTGGAGCTTACAGTTCAAGGAACTCCGAAGTCACGAACAAAAGCGCACACCCTCCTCCGGTTGCTCCGGGAATCGCCGTACCGGAGAACGGAACTCGAGGCTGACACACTTGAGGATATATTAAGTAATATAATATCGCAAATCGATGGAGATGAACAATCTGGGAATGCGAAGAAGATGCTTGCAGAAATGGTGCAAGTTAGTATGGAGCAAAGTTTGAGACATTTGCAAGAAAGGGCTTTCGTTTGTACTCCATGTGATCTTCCGATTTGTGCTTCGGAAGTTTCTTTGAAGTAAGTTATGCCGGTTTTCATGGCTTTTTCCGATGGTGTTCGGGTTTTCCGATGATAAAAATATACCAAAGTTGGTAAAGCCAGTCCAGGCCTTGTGGAGTTGTGGTAAGGTATCATGAGACTGGTAGGTGTCTTTTTTTTTTTTTTTTTTTTTGTCTTTTTCCAGATATGGATGCTTTAGGGAGTTGTAAGTTGATGGAGAAAGGGTTGTACATTGGATTGTGTTTTATGATTTCATTTCTGGAAAAAATGAATGCTTTTTAGGGTTAGTTTGATTTTGTGAAAAGTTGTTTTGAGTGGATAAAGGTGGTTAAGTTTTGATGCTTTGTGTAGTGTTTCGGTAATGTATTGGTGTGTTTTATTGGTTAATTAAAAGTTAGGGGGCCTAATCTGTAACAACTAACAAAGACTTGATGATAGTGGACTAGTATTGATCCTAAAGTGGAATTTTTTTTCGTCAATGAGAGTGTTAAATTGAAATTTTAACACTTCCCATAGTCAAGGGATGCAACCACCTATACCAAAATGGAAGAGTTTGGTGTATTCTATATGGAATAATCTGGTAAATATCAAAGAGTTTTGTCGGTTTGAATTTTTTAAAAATAATTGGTTGGTTTTGAATATTTAAAACCGACTAATTTGGTTGGCAAATTGTAGTAAAAGACTTCATCTTGACTCGAATCAATGTTGACTCAAATCAATGGTGGATCTATGATTTTTCTTCTTTCATCTATCAAATCAATGTTGGATCTAGGATTTTTCTTCTTTCATCTATCTAATCTATTTAGTGATTGGTTGTATGATTAGTTATGATGATTGAAATCAGATTGGGATGGGTCAAAACACGCTACCAAACCAATTCAATGCAAAGCAAAAGAAATTCTATATGACGAGATGTCATTTTGTATATTTCAAAAGCTCTACATAAATAAAAGTTTACATTTCATCTTCCAACTATTTTTGTGGAGCATTTTTGCATAAATAACAGCACGTTTTCATAAATAAAAACTATAACTTCTAACTTTCACCAATCAACTTCCGGCTAACAATTATTTTTGCAAACATACTATACTATGTGCAATGTCACTCCTCTCAACCACATCTATGTCTAGGTCTCACCTCTCCTCTCAAGTTTATATCGAATCGACAAAAGTCATTGCTAGAGGACGAATTGACGAAACCTCAAACCCTTCCCTTTCTCTTGGTCTCGGTCTGAACCGTTCTTTTATCTTTCTTTTACTATATATTACATTGTGAATTTGTTTTGTTTTTAAAATTTCTATAAATTCTTGATTTATGAAATTATGAATTTGTGAAGTGATATTTCTATCAGAAGAGCATATATATTATTACATGTGACTGTGATGTGTGAAGTTGTGAAGTTAGAGTGAGATTGGATATACCAACTTCTTAACCTAATTTATGCAATCACATTGAAACATCCCAAAAATACAGACTAAAAATTTCTTTTTAAAATCATTTATCTCAAAACCATAAGTCGTCCATCATCATATAGAAAACCATAAATCGTGTATCTCAAAATATTGTATCAAAATCATATGAAAATATCAGTGTCTAAACATCCCAGGCTGAAGTTGTGGTGTGTGTCATGCGATCATCCTGAGCCCTTCCCCTAGCTAGTGGAAGTACCTGAAACCAAAACTGAAAACTGTAAGCACGAAGCTTAGTGAGTTCCCCAAACTACCACACACCATACAAATATCATGCAACTAGGAGATACGGGCCCCACCCACTCTCATGGAGATTCGGGCCCCGCCTACACTCCGATGTCTAGGCGATTCGGGCCCCGCCCACACTTTGTTGTCTAGGAGATTCAGGCCCCGCTCACACTCCGCTGTCTAGGGATTCGGGCCCCGCCCACACTCCGCTGTCTAGGAGATTCGGGCCCCGCCCACACTCCGCTACTAACATGCATACAAGTATCACACAGACAACAAGTATATCTACCAAACAATCACATATCTATACTCAAAATAATACTATAAGCATCGGGCCCCGCCCACTCTAAGCTACTATGAGATTCGGGCCCCGCTCACACTCAGCTACTAACATATCACATATACGGGCTGGCCTTGGTGCCGTAGACCTGTTCCTACTGAAGGAAACTCACATCGCAAGACTGACTGCTGAAAAATCGAGTGGGGAATCCCTGTCTGCTGCTCCGGCGACTCTCCGGCTATAAATTCCATAATAACACTTAATCAGAATATGCTAATCCTCTCTTAGAGTAAAATGACCATTTTACCCCTAGTCAAAGTCAAGGTCAACTCCCAGTCAACCCAACTCGTCGAGTTATCTCCCAACTCGGCGAGTCCTTAAATGTTTAAACTCCTGGTCAACTGAGTCAACTCGTCTAGTCCTTTAACAAACTCGTCGAGTTCTTGTTCTCATAATAATCGGGACAACCCGCTTCAACTCGTCGAGTCCTTCCCTGGACTCGGAGAGTTCCCCTGTCTGATTGAGCCATCTCAATGGATTAAGCTCCTACCATTCAGATCTATGTTCCAAACCCCTTCTACATACTGGAAATACATTTTTAAGGGTAAAGTTTCCAAGTTTACCCATCCTTAGTCCTTCCTAATGGGTTTAACCCAAACCCTAACTTCTTTAAGACTAAAAACTTGGTCCACAAGCCATAACACCATAAACCAAAGTACAATATACTAGATCTAGGCTCTTATCATCTGTGGGACACATAAAGTCCCGAGCTTTCCTCCCATGCATGGTCTTTTAGGGCTAAAAATGCCATGTTCTTGCATATAAACTTGCATGGGGTCTCCATGGTCATAAAGTTTGCACCTTTATGCCATGGAACCCTTCCCAGACCCCAGATCTGGGATATACATCACTTGGGACGTCCCAATCCCAAGGGCTAAGGTTCTTGAACCAATTCCTTCATAAAATGTAAACAAATAGATCTAAGAGAAGAAGGATTATGTTTGGGATTTGATTACCAAAAAATGCAGTAAATGAAGTGTAGCTCCTGGATCTACTTCTTCCCCTTTGAGACTTCTATCTTCTTATTCTTTCACAAGCTTAAAAAAGCACAATAACACTCAAAATGGCAAGAACTAGCTCAAAATCACTCAAGGTGGATTTGGGTTTCGAGATTAGGGTTTGGAGGTAATAGAGGCTGGGGTGGAGGCCAGATATGATGTTTAAATAGGGTGCAAACACTGAAGATTAGGGTTTCCTCCTGATGGACCTATTCGTCGAGTCCAGGCTTCGACTCGCCGAGCACACCATTTAAACCCCGCGACCAAGCTGGCATCTACTCGACGAGTTAGGCCTACCAAGTCGTCGAGTAGCTCTTACCAAATGAATGTTTTAATAGATTAAATGCGTATCAGAAATGGGGCGTTACAATTCTCCCCCGCTTGTCTTAGACTTCGTCCTCGAAGTCTGCTGCATCTGAAAACAACTCTGGATAGTGCTCCCTTATCTCCTCCTCGGGCTCCCATGTCCACTCTGAACACTTACGGTGCTGCCACTGCACCTTCACTAACTCAACCCACTTGTTCCTTAGCTCCTTCGTCTTGCGATCTAGAATCGCCACTAGTCTCTCAATGTAGTTCAGGCTGTCATCAACCTGAATATCATCAAGGGGTACCACTGTTGAATCATCCACCAAGCACTTCCGTAACTGGGAAACATGGAAAGTGTTGTGGATCTAACTGAGCTCGGCGGGAAGATCCTGTCTGTATGCTACCTTGCCCATCGGGCTATGACTCGGAAGGGGCCGATATACCTGGGGCCCAGCTTGCTCCGCTTCCAGAATCGTATGACGTCCTTCCAGGGCGACACCTTCAAGAGAACCATGTCGCCCTTCCGAAACTCCAAGTCTGAACGTTGTTTGTCGGCATAACTCTTCTGCCGACTCTGAGCGGTATGGAGCCTGCTCCAAACCTGTTGGATCCGCTCGGTGGTCTTGAGTACTACCTCCGTACTCCCCATGACCCTCTAACCGACCTCACCCCAACAAATTGGGGTCCTACACCTCCTCCCGTAGAGAATCTCGAAGGGAGGTCGGTCTATACTGGTGTGGTAATTGTTGTTATACAAAAATTCCGCCAACGGAAGATACGTATCCCAACTGCCACCGAAATCCAAAACACATGCACGAAGTATGTCCTTGCGAGTCTGAATCGTTCTCTCGCTCTGTCCATCTGTCTAGGGGTGGAAAGCGATGCTGGAATGGAGACGAGTACCCATCTCGTCATGAAACCGCTTCTAAAATCTGGAAGTAAAACGGACATATCGGTCTGACACCACCGAGACAGGCACTCCATGACATGCCACTACCTATCGAACATAAATCTTGGCTAACTTCTCGGCCGAGATGCTCTGCTGGATCGGTATGAAATGGGTGCTCTTGGTCAACCGATCCACGATGATCCAGATCGCATCACCCCCATGTGCGGTCCTGGGAAGCTTAGTGATGAAATCCATAGTAATATCCTCCCACTTCCACACAGGGATATCTAACGGCTGCATCTTGTCGTGAGGCCTCTGGTGCTCTGCCTTGACCTTCCTGCAGGTCAGGCATCTCTCTACGTACCAAGCTACATCCCGGTTCATGTAGGGACACCAGTAATCGGGTCGAAGATCTATGTACATCTTCGTCGCCCCGGGATGGATGGAGAACCTCGACTTATGGGCCTCATCCATCAGAACCTGCTAAGGGTGTTCGTTTGGATGGATCGGTTTGATCCGATCCAATCAAGTGAATCCAAATTGATTTCGGTTTTCAAAACATGGATCCAAATATTCCAAAATTCTAACACCTGAAAAATTCAAGCCAATTTAAACTTTTAAAAACATTTCAAATCCATTAACTATTACAAACTTGTTTTCAAAATGTATCATATCAGAGTATCCCAGAAACAAAGTCGTAAAAAGTGAGGAGATGTACGATCACGCCTTTGCCTTGCCACGATCTCCTGATGTACCTGAAACAATAAACTGAAACTGTAAGCTCGAAAGCTTAGTGAGTTACCCCCAAAATACCGATACACATACAGTCCACATAACCATGTCAGCAACATCATAACATAACTAACTGAACAGCATGCAATGGGTCCACAAC